TAGATTTTCAGAAAGCCTTTGACAAGGTCCAGCACAAAAGGCTCAAGTAAAGTAAAGTAAGCTCTTAAAGTAGGGGATCTAGGGATCATAGCAGACCACATGCTGAATATGAAACAATAGTGTGATATGGTTGCAAAAAATGCAAATAAGATGCTGAGATGCATTATCAGGAGTGTTGTGAGCAAGACATGAGACGTGATTCTTCTGCTCTACGCTGCACTGATCAGGCCTCAGTTGGAGTATTGTGCCCATTTCTGGGCATCAAATTTCAAGAAAGATGTGGGAAAATTAGGAAAGGTCCAGAGAACAGCAACAAAGGCCTAGAAAACATGAGCTATGAGGGAAGACTGAAAGAATTGGGGTTGTTTAGTTTAGAAAAGAGAAGACTGAAAGGACACGATAGCAGTTTTCAAGTATGTAAAAGAGTTTAAGTAGGAGGAGGGAGAAATGGTTCTCTTTGGCCTCTGGTGATAGGATAAGTAGCACTGGACTTAAATTGCAGCAAGGGAGATTTAGGTTGGACATTAGGAAAAACTTTGTCAGGGTGGTTAAACATTGGAATAAATTACCTAGGGAGGTTGTGACCCTCCGGGGTTCACGGGCGAGTCCAAGCCCGGGTGCGATCACCCCTCGCCCCGAGTAGGGCCGAGGGGGCTCGGCGGACCCGGGCCGGTAACTTCCTTAGTCAGTACTTGGTCCTGTAGCGAGGGCAGGGGATTGGACTTAATGACCTCTCAAGGTCCCTTCTAATTCTAGTGTTCTATGATTCTAAATTGTCATGGGATAAGAGGGAAAGCCCTGTCATGGATTGATAACTGGTTAAAAGACAGGAAACAAAGGGTAAGAATAAATGGTAAATTTTCAGAATGGAGAGGGGTAACTAGTGAGGTGGGATGGCTGTCCAATGGACACTTTGTATATAGCTATCCCCTGAAGGCTTGCTGTCCTGCGTGGATACTTTCATATTACATCCCTTGGAACAGCAACCCTTCTCTTTTCATGTTATGGAAAAAAGTGCTTTTCCTGGGACTTGCAGTTCTCCTGGTACAACTGATCCTGACCCTGCTTTTACTTAGGACAAGAGGAAGCTGAATACCCAATTTGGTGGCCCTATTTCTTACCATTTAGGAGTTCTTGAATGAACAGACTTCCAGACAGACACAAAGATGCACTCTGGAGATTGTAGTAGATAACCGCTTCCTTATCCACCTTTCAATTCTCATATTAATCTGCATCTTCTCCAATTAACTAATTTCCCATGTGGAACTGTATCAGATGCCTTTCTAAAATCCAGACAGAGTGGAGCTACTGCATTTCCTTTGTCTAAAAAACCTATTTTCTCAAAGGAGAGCAGGTTGATCTGATAATGTACCTTTTCTAAAGCTACGTAGTATTTTATCCTAATTACCACTGACCTCTGTGTCCTTAACTACTTCTCTTTTGAAATTTGTTCCAAGGCCTTATATAAAGCTGATGTCAAACTAACAGGGACAGTTTCCAGGATCATTTTTTGTCCTCCTTCTTAAAAATAGCAATTAGCATTTCTCTAATCATACAGTATGAATCCCCCCACGTGTCCCAAGTTTACAGATTTATTAAAAATTCTTGCTATTGGGCTTGCACTACCATTCAAAAAACAAAAAGAAAAAAAATGGTCTTGCAGCACCATAGAGACTAACAAAAAATGTAGACAGTATGATGAGCTTTCATAGGCACATGATACAGTCTGGTTGCGTCTAGACTGGTGCTCTCTTGCACAAATACTTTTAACGCAAGAGTTCTTGCATTAAAGTATTTGCACAAGAGAGCATCTACACTGCCATGTGCCTTTGCGTAAAAGCTGTGCTTTTGCGCAAGAGCATCCCGTGCCAGTATAGATGCTCTCTTATGCAAGAAAGCACCGGTGGCCATTTTCGCCATCGGGGTTTTCTTGCGCAAGAAATTCCTGTCCTTGTCTACACTGCCCTCTTAAGCAAAAACACTTGCACAAGAAGGCTTTTTCCCGAGCAGGAGTGTCAGAGTTCTTGCACAAGAACACTGACAATCTTACATTAGATCTTGCGCAAGAACTCGCGGCCAGTTTAGACAGCTGGCAAGATTTTGCGCAAAAGCAGCCGCTTTTGCACAAAATCTGGCCAATGTAGACACAGCCTCTATTTTTTTGTTAGACTCCAAGGTGCTGCAGGACCATTCATTATTTTTTTTCAGTTACAGACTAACACAGCTACCCTACTGAGAATTCAAAACAAAGTATTTCTTCTCACAACAGTCAGTCTGTTGAACTCTTTGACAGAGGATATTGTGATGGCCAAGACTGTATCAGGATTCAAAAAAGAACTAGATAAATTCATGGAGAATAGGTCGACCAATGGCTATGAGCCAGGATGGGCAGAGATAGTGTCCCTTGCCTGTGTGCCAGAAGCTGGGAATGGGTAACTGAGGATGGATCACTTAGGTACCTGTTCTATTCATTCCATCAGCAGTGCCTAGCTGTGGCTCCGAGTATGACCCAGTGGGACTGATCTTAAATTCTTGCAATATGTGCCAGATCCTTTAATATTCTTAACTGGAGATTATCCAGCCTCCCCCCTCTGCCATTAAATCCCTTTAAGCTGTTAGAAATTACTACACCTGGAGTAGAAGTAAAATTCAATTTCCAGATCCTTGCTATTGCCCCCTGCACAGTCCTATGAATTATAAGTCTAATAAGGCAAATTACTTGTTTAGGTGTTGGGTCATGCCTACATAATCTTTACTCTCCACCCCATCCTCAGTAGATAAGGCCCACTTCTTTCCTTGTTTGTCTTACATGGCTATAGATCCTTTATTATTATGGCAGACTGAGTGTGTTGCAGGCAGGGGCAGCTTCTGTTCACAACAGGCCCCCATGTGAGGCAGGAGTAATCCACTGTCCTCAGGGAGCTGCTCCAGTCCCCACCAGTTAACTGGAATGAGTAAGCATCACTCATTAAGGGTGATGCTTACCAGTTGACCCTTCACATCTGTATTGTAAATCACACCCCAGCTTTGGCATCAGCAAATTTTCTCTATTCCTACATCCAGCTTGTTGTTAAAGATATGAAATAACAGACCCAGGACAGAGCCCTGTGGAACCCTGCTCAAGATGTTTATCCAGATATGTAACCTCTTAATGATTGTTCCATTGAGGGCACCTTTCTTCAGCTCCCTTATCGGAATGTAGGGTAGGGTTATGGCACCAGCCTTGCTAAATTTGAGATATAACATGTCCACCATAGTCCCCTTATGCACTAAACCAGGTAGTGTGTCAAAAAGGGAAATCGAACTGGTTTGGCATTTTTGTTAAATTTATGCTGCCTGCTAGTGATCACCCCTTCATGCTCAAGGTACCTGCAAATTCAATATTTTATGCATTGCTCAGTAGTTTCCTGGGTATCAAGGTCAACTTGATGATTCTATAGTTCATCAGCTCTTCCTTTTGAAAGGTAGACACTATGTTAACCCTCCTTCAGTCCACTAGGACTTCTCCCATCATCCATAAATTTGTAAATACTATTGTTAGTGGCTCTGATTTCTTCAACAAACTTCTCCAGCAGCCTCAGATGAATACAGGAGGCCCTGCTGGCTTGAACAGGAGACGAGCAGTACTACCATCACCTGCAACTTGCATACTATCCCTCTGTTAAAACTACCCAAAATTACGTTTTCTTTTTTGCAACATGATGCATTTCATGGTAGTTGGTTCCTCACCTTTACTATGTAGATGGCCTGTGTATTACCTTGGATTGAGAAAGATCCCTTCCCCTGTACCTCTCTGTAAGACTCCACATCTATCTTGAGATTTCTCTGCACTAGAATTCTCAGATTCTGTTAAAATAATCAGCTGCATCTGTTATTTTTATATAAACTTTGTCACCACCAAAATATTATTGCTCAGTCCAAATGATTCAAGTGACAAAATGGTTTAAGAGCAGAAAACACTTGGGGAAAAAGAGTTCTGATCAACCAGAACGGTGCTTTTAGAATCTGACCAAAGACACAATAGCCAAGCTGAAATGTATTGATTAGCATATGAGACTGGATGTCTTGGATGAAAGATCCCAATGATCTAAGAAGAGGGATTTAGTAATTCACCTCACCCTCTCTCTTAGGTAGGGATGTTAAATTTTGATTACTTGAGTACCTGAGTAAGCAAAATCACTGCAGGGAGCACGGGACCAGCAGGGTAGTCTCCCCTAGCCCCATGCTCACCACGGTGTTTCAAAGCATCACAACCACCTGGATCCAAGGATCAGCTGGGGACTCCCCCGCTGACCCTGGGCTCCATGTGGTGCTACCACTTTGAAACACCTCAAGGATCCCACCGTCAGGCTTCATATGGCATTTCCTAGAAGCCCAGGGTCACACAGGGGGAGTCACCAGCTGATCCTGGGCTCCATGTGCCACTGCTGCTTTGAAATGCCACGTGCATCCTAGGGACATCCCACCTGGCCTAGGGCTCTATTTGATGCTGCCGCTGTGAAGCACCCCTCCTCCCTGCACGCTGCCTCTTTCTGACAGAGACAGCTGGGGGGGGGGGGAAATGACTAGTCGACAACTGGGTTGACTATCCGATAAACATTGGCTTATCCAATAGTCAACTTCTCAACTAGTTGTTCGCATCCCTATTCATAGAATGTGTCTCATATTTCAAAATAGATTATTTTGTCATTTGGTGTGGTCTACACAGCTCCAAGTTCCAAAATAAAATGCTATTCTGAAATGCCTCTTACTCTTCATAGAATGAGGTTTACAGGGACATAGAAATAGCGAGCCTGAAATAAACAGGTTTGCTGTGAAGACACAGAGAGCTATTTTGGGATACTCCAGTATCCCGCAATAGCATTGCGGTGTAGATGTACCTTAAGAGAAATAAAGGCCTGCTTCTCAGTGTATTTACAGTTCAAAGAAAAGAGAATAGACAGAAGTCCTACAGGATTAAGAGACAACTGCAAACATCATCCCAGTCTGAGTCATTACACTTTACAGAAACAGATTGTCAAGATTTATTTCATCTACAAGCATGCTGTGCATTAACAGCTACAAAGCAGTACCAATAATACAATGGTTATTAAAATAAGCAGACAATTTTTAATATGGGGAGTTAAACAAGAACTTTACCGACTTTTAAGAAAGTGCTTAACACCATTGAAAAGCTGTGTAACATTACCTTGAGTGCAAAAATGACACACTCAGCATCAGATCAGAGACCTTAAAGTCACTGTAAGCAAGAAACAGAATTTACTTCAGACAGAGATAATTGTAACTGCAAATTCTTGACAAAAGTTACTTACCACTTCAAAATATATTTTGCTTACATTTTAAGTTTTTCAAAGCAAATTTTTGAAGTCTGATTTCTCAGACAACTGTGCTAGGCACAAAAACCTTTTCAACAATACATAGCATGTTTATGTATGACTTATAAGTCAATTGGTATTTAAGTGCAGACGACTGCCGTTCCCCCCAGACCATCCATCTTAAAAGCAGAGTATCCAGATCATGGTGATCATGAGAGTGATGCTGAAGACTGCTTCACTAATCATCATGATTGGACTTATGTTACACAGGTTTTTTTGGCAGCATTTGAAATTAAAGTTGGAAGTTTTGTAGTCCTCTTCAATTGCATGGATATTGCATTTGGAATATTTGTAGCAATCATGGAGTGTCCTTTCACCTTAAAAAAAAAAAAGGGGAGTTATGCAAAATTACTAGTTCTTTACAAGAAAGCTATTTCACAATGTAACATTAGATATTCAGAGATTTTCCTGCCTCTGTTTTGTTGTAACAGGGTGCTTTTCTTATGAGCTCTCTGGGACACAGCAAGTAGAGAAATCCAAACCTGAACTTTATATGAGATTCTGAATTTCACAGATGGACTCGTTTCAATAGATGGCTAGAACAGACATGTGCACACACGATGTAAAAGTTTAACCTGTAAACCAATAAGCATCATCTTATTTGTGTCTGTTACTGTTATACTCTGCCCTCCTAGTGAGCGCTGGCTCCACTCCGAACTCCAAGTTTTGCAATACAAGGCTTATATTGCTGAACTGGACCCACAGCAGGTGCGGGGCTGGCAATCAGAGCAGGTGAGCACCAGGAGCAGCTTGCACGCTCCAGTTACCAGTCTTACTCCCAAGGAGCTGGCTGCACAAGCCTTATACTGCAGAGTCCACAGCATGGGGCAGCAGCCGGCTTCCCAGCTGAGAGGGGCACCTCTTCACCATCCTTCCCTCCCTAGTCCAACCCAGCCACTAACAGTTAATTGTGTAATCACTAGGATTTTTAACAGTTTTAATGGTCCTAACACACAGAGTTATGTGGCTCTGGCTCATCTTCAGATAAAAGTACTGCAAGTCGCAGGCAAGTGGCTCTTGCACAATATAAAACCAGCACAGGGTGGAGACTGCTTCCAGTACCTGACCTGGACAGAGGCGAATAGCTGTGAAATTCAGGTCTTAGTTCCTGGAATTCTACATTCCAGCTAGGAATGAGTGCAAATGAGAGCAAGGAACACCACTGGCAGGCATAAAAAAGCCTATAATTCAGTTTCCAAATTGGACTGCAGTGAAAGCTAAGTGCATTATACTTCAGTAATGTTCCATTTGGCATAAAGAAGCAATTTATATCCCAATCCTAAATCAGGGAAGTGGAGAGTGCTGGCCCCCACACCTGGCAGTGAGATTTTCTCCTTTCACCAGTTTCCACACACGCCCACCAGACATGCAATAGAGCAGTCAGTTGGATACTTAACTGCAGAATGGCATCTCTTTAAGCAAAAAACTGTGTCCCATTGGAACTTCCATAGATGTTGGATATAGTTCAAACCATATTCATGCACATAATTCTATATACATCTGAAGGAGTTAACAAGGACTTCATTAAGAGTGCACTTCAAATGGACATTCATACACAGATTATAGAAATAAAATTTCTACACTTGATTACATTGAATCATTAAAATTAAACCTTATTTACTGTACTTAAAGCAACCAAATTTGGGATTGTAAACATACCAACTTTAAGCCACAGGCAAGAATCAAGGCCACTTGCACAGGTAATATTTGTCTTACATGGCCCAACAGTAAGTGAACAGTTGTAACAATCCAGCATATAACCTGAGAGAGAGAGAGAGAGTTTATTACTTAGTAAGCAGCTTCTTTCTCCTTCTACATTTGATGTTCTGACAATTGACTTTTCAAGACTGTTAGATCAAAACAGTGATAAATCCCTGAATTATAACCTCATGATAATCTGGTTTAAATACTGCAGCACTTTTCAGTCAGATCACCCAATGCTATAGTATTCTAATTCCAACAGTGAAGTTATATTTAACTCCTAATGCATTCACAAGAATCCAGGGAGATAGATTTACATAACTAGTGCTTCCTGGTCCAAAAAGATCCTCAATTGCAGCAGTTGGCAGGGAGTTCTCTCCGGACCTGACTCCAACAAGGTCCAGAACAACTGAGACTGGATTTAAACAGATTATGTAATTGCTGCTCCATATTCTTGGGGACTGCAGCCTCCATTCCATTAGTATCATTTTCTCCTTTGTTTTACCAGTGACATCTGTACTGCCCGCACCCACCCACTTCATCAAAACTTCCTTAACCCTTCTCTCCTCCTAGTTCTATTGGTCTCACCCCTCCTTCTCTATTACCTTCTCATTTCTGCTTTCATGAATTCCACCTCTTACCATCTCCTCATTTTACCAGTCTCTTCCTTCACTTAATATTCTAGCAAGTCTTCAGTTTTCCTGCATCTCTTTACAGGGGAACTGAGGACTTGACCTCAGTCTTAATCTTGGCCTTACTGCTTTCCTACACTCCTCACTTTCCTACTCTCCTCTTCCTCATGCTCAGTCTTCTGACTGTATTCCAAGCCTGTGTGTCTATTGGAATACATGCTATAGCACAAAAGCAGCAGCAGTATCACCAAGATTTGCTCACAAGTTATTATAAATAGTCTTCCTTCTTTTCCCTAATTTTACTCCTAATTTGTGACTCCTTTCTGGGCAGGGACTATATCGTTTGTTCTGTAACATTCCTACCAAACTTTGAACACTATGGACTGAAGCTTGTTCTTTTAAAGTGAACGGTTCCCTGCAGGACCTGGACCTATAAAAGTAGACTCAATAGGCAAATCTCACATACATCTTATTCAACAGAAATCCATTTACACCACATTTTAGCATATCCATCAACCACATTATCCCGTCCCCCTTTTACTGCAGCCAAGTTAGCCCTTCATTGATGATTAGGAAATGAATAGGCCCTATGAAATTCATGGTCCATTATGGCTAGTTTCACAGCCATAGGATTTGAAAACTGGTAAATTTCAAATGTGCAGCTGTTTAAAAAGTTACAAATGTTTACAGCTGTTACAACATTTCTTGGTGTTATAATTATGGGATCCCAACCCAAAGGGTCACAAACTGATTGTGGGAGGGTCATAGGATTGCCACCTCATTTCTGTGCTGCCTTCAGAGTTGCAGAGCGTTCTGCAGCTGCAGGAAGTTCCAAGAGGTAGAGGTGACTCTGATGTCCCGTCATGCTGGGAGCATCCCAGGTAGGACCAACCGGAGTTGGGAGGAACTAGCTAGAACAATACTTGTTCTCTCTCTTTCAACAGCTGTAGAAAGCGCTGCACCTCCTGCCCCACATTCACTTCTTGCCCCTGTCCTTCCCCTGCACAGTCAGACCTAGGTGCCCCCTTTTGATGGGGCACTCCCAACAGCACAGGGAACATAAAATCCAACTCCACAAGTCTCCTCCAGTTGCAGGAACCTGTGGCTAGATCTACACTAGAAGGTAAGTTCAAATTAGGATATGCAACTCCAGCTACGTTAATTACATAGCTGAGTCAAAGTATCTTAAACTGCATTTTGTCACCATCCACAGCAGAAGGTGGTTCACAGAAGCACACTCTTCCTTCGACTTCCCTTACTCCTTGTAGGAGGAGAACTACTGGTGCCAAGGGAAGCGCCCTCTCAGTTTTAATTAGTGTATTTTCACTGGACCAACTACTGGTGCCAAGGGAAGTGCCCTCTCAGTTTTAATTAGTGTATTTTCACTGGACCCACTAATTTGAACCCTGGAAGATCAACTGTGTCAGCTTCGATCTTCTCTTTAGTGTAGACATGACCTCAGTGTTCTGCAGAAGGAAGAAGCACCCAAAGGTGGGTCTGGTCAGGTCTGCCCGTGCTCTGGTCCTTCCACCACCAGAGCAGTTTGAAGGACAGGTCCTGTCCTTCCCTGGATCAATCAGAGACAGAAAGCTCTCTGTGATGGGTTGCTTGTAGGAGCAAGGAGACAGATTTCATGGGAAAGGACTTATTTCATGGTCTGTGACATTTTTCACAGCTGTGAAGTTGTTAGGGCCCTACAAATGAAGCAGGAAGAGCCCTTAACTCCTCTACATTCCATGGAAGTATAGACCTATCTTTTTTGCACATTCTATATCTGCAATACCAGGGGTGAAAGCAACTTAAAATTTCTTAAAGGTATAGTCATATCCCAGCCCTCCACCTCAGGGCAGAGGGTTGCGAAATAACAGTACCTGTAAAAACTTTGAGGGGTGGGGGAGGGCTCAGGGCGGAGAATTGAGTGTGTGTGGATGGGTGCAGGGGGCAAAAACTCCATTTAGAGATAGTGAAGGGGGAGGCTGAAGATTCATATGAGGACACTGCTTCTCTTCCCTTTCCTGTCACTATCAGGGAGCAAGAGGAAAGCATATAGCTTGGGTCATTATTCTTCTGCTCCCTACTCTCAGCAGCCAGGAGGGAGAGGAATGGAAGTAAGTTGTGAACCCCCCCTCTCCTGCCTAGGCACCCCACAACAGACACTTTCTGCAAATTGAACTCATTTGGGGCCCACTCCAGAGCCTAGGTAGACCCCAGAAAAATCTACTAGCCTTAACTGTTCTGGGACTTCAATTTGACCCTTACAGCCCACCCGCCCGCCACAGGGCTGGAGAGCAAGGGCAATCCTGGCACCCTGAGTTGCATGAGTGAGACAAGTGTGTCTAATATCTTCTCATATGGGAGCCAGATCAGTCAGTTTTTTCTTTTCACTTGTGCGGGTCCTGACCTAAAAAAGGTTCCCCACCCCACTCTAATTGCTGTGCTCTAATGTTTGAAATAGACCGAGACCAGGGAAGTAAGTGACAAGTAATCACTTTTTTTGGCCAGTGCTGCTTTTTAGGTATTGGAAGTGGATTAAAAGAATTACATCTTTCCAGGTTGGCAAAGGCCAGTGGGGAAAGTTCAGGGCTCAGTGCTGCTGGAAGCTGACAATACTTCCTATACTAATGAAAAAAAGCTACCAGATACAGGCCTTGGTACAGTCTAAATGCAGACTGAAAAAAAATAATAATCACAGCATTTGCTTACAAGTCTGGACTACTGCCACCTTTCACTGAGTCTTTCCTTTGGGTAGGTCTACACTACAGAGGTTTTTTTTCAGAAAAGACAAAAAACCTGTCTTTCGGAAAAGACAGCCATTTTTCCAAAAAAAAATTCAATTATGTCCACACTGTAATCCCATTCTTTCAAGAAAAAAAAAAAATCTAAGAACAGAGGGGTTTTTATGTTCACACTGTAATCCCATTCTTTCAAGGAAAAAAAAATCTAAGAACAGAGGGGTTTTTCCGACATTGGTAAACCTCTTTCTACGAGGAAGAAGCCTTTTTCCGAAAGAGCTCTTTTGGAAAAAGGAGTGTGTGGACGGGGAAGAAAGAGTTCTCTTGCAAGAAGGGAAAAGAGGAAAAAGCACAGGTGCCCTGGTGGCCATTCCACCCATAGTAATCATAGCTTACATGCAAGATGGCATCCATTCAGTGTGGACACTATCTTTCGAAAAAGGAGATGGCTTTATCGATGCGCTTTGGCAGTGTGGACATGCTCTTTTGGAAGACTTCTTCTGAAAAAGTTTCTTTTGAAAGAAGCCTGTAGTCTAGACATAGCCTTAGTGATAACAATTATCAATACAAGTGGAGAGAGTTGTCCCACTATTGTATAATAGATGCCTCAGATTTCCTTGACATTCCAGTCCGAAGTCTAAAGTATGGTGCAGAGACTGCTCCTATTGTGTTAATGGAGGCTCTCAGCCATGAATGATGATAAAATAGCTTTCTGATATCAGATTTATCAAGTACTTTAAGTAATGTCATCACAAGGCATCGATGGCAAGCTTGTGGACCTGTTACTGTCTGAGCAAGAAGCACCAAGTCCGTTAGGAGTTCTCTGAGCTGGAACTGCTGGGTAATCACTATTCTGACCTGAAACTCATTTGGCATTCTCTTGGTCAACTTTATATGCAAAATAGGTGCCAGGAGGACTAGTGAAGTAGCATGGTTTGCAGTGTGTAGCACAAAGCTGAGCAACATCTGAATGTTGCTCTTTCTATTGGAGCCCAGACAGTGCGGCTGAACACATTTCCCAGCGTCTGCTTAAATACGGGGCATTGAGGAAAATAAACTGGCTGAGACTCAATGCAGCTAGATCCGGCAAGGTGGGGAAAGTAGCACCAGCTGGAGATGGGAGATATATAGGTGATGGCTGTAAGTACCCAACCTGGGATTCTCATTAGATTTCTGATCATCACTGAATGATCAGCTTCAGCAGCAGTCAAGATGGCTTTTTATTGGGTAGAAGGCAATGGCTTCATCTTTCCAAAAACTGGTCTCAGTTTAGAGTGTGCATTTGTCAAAAAAGCAGCATTACTTGGGATGACACCTTAAAATGCCATTCAGAAACAAAAGCAAATGCACAATGTGGCATCTTGCTTGGTGAGCGAGAGGTCTTCTGATATGCATAGTGCTTTGAGATCCATGCGGGCTGATTAACCTAATCTGGACTCCAAGAGCTTCAGGCCCTTATGCAGGAATTTCTGAGAGGGGATGCATTTTTGGGGTAAATGTGGACTGTAAGGGTGTGAATGTACCCCGATGGTGCTCCAAGTAAGCAGGGAAATCAGCCCCAGCCTTCCCCGGGTTAGTCAGAGCATGGGGGAGGGAGGCTCAGACAGCACACTGCTCCTGCATTCCCCTGGCCAGCCGAAGCATGCTTACTTGGAGGATCATGGGGGTGCTTTCATGCCCTCTGCGCACACACCCCTGCGTATGAGCCTGAGCTAAGTATTCCTCTATAAAGCAATAAATATTTTAAAAGTCTCGAGAGACCATGTCTCTTTTCATAGGTTATCACACTGAGATGAGACCTGCAAGAAAGCCTGATACAAGTCCTTTGGTATATAGTATCCTTGGTGGAAGGATGTTTCCTGTGAGAGCCCCTTGCCTTTTGCTCCATTCAGGACATGCTATAAGAATTGTTTTGAAAGTCAGCCATAGAGGCGACCGTAGCTTGCGTGGCGATGTATGAAAATTAATTGGACATTATATTTTACATTAGATTGTACTGTCTGGATAATAAAGCAATAACTTGTAGGGTTGCTGTCTCTTCTGACTATTTTTTATCCCAGTTTTTAAGTATACTGTGAATAGCACCAAAAATGCAAGTGTTCTTGTTCTTTTCTAAATAAAGACTCTTACTATACAACTATCAATATCAGGGGCTACTACCAGCATTGATTATTAGCAACATGAAGAGATCTATCAGAAGCTTTTCATTTGTATAGACATGCTCTCTATTCAAGCTTGCTTTAGTGTGAAATCTCTCATCTGAAAGGAGAAGACGTAGCCCTTTTTCTAAAATGTGTTGTCAAGTCTCTTTCCTTAGGGCAAGCGAAGAAATTGATCAGAAGAGAGGAAAGTGGAGATAAGTGGAAATCCCCCTGCCTTCTTGCAAAAGAAAGAGATGTGGACCTCTCTTCTCCTCCTCCTCTCCTGAAAGATGATCTTCATATGTGCCAGCATGTGCAAGTGCTCACTTGGTCTCACTCATCTATCTCTCCCTTGTGATAGAGACATTTGAAAAGACTTCATTTTTTTAGTTTATAAACCTGCAAAGTCTACTTCAGAATTAAGATTTTAGTAATAAGAAGAGTTAGAAATTAATATCCCATGTAGGATGACCTTAGAGATTCCTCTATACAATTTCCACATACCCCCTACTTAAGACAGATGTGTAATAGCCTGCACCTTTAATGCTGATCTAGATACAGCCAAAACATCCTATGCAGCTTGGCATTCCAAGCTCTTCCAAGCTCTTCATCTGCTTGCCCTTGATTTCTTCCATATTAATATTTACCTAATTCAAACTTATGCTGATGGTCTATTGCTGAAGAAGGATTCTGTTATTGCACTGGGCTACAATTGGTTTGTTGTCTGGAATACAACACATCCCGCATAAAAAAAAGCAGATTGTCAGACCACAGAGCAAAACCAGGTGTAGCTAAACTCAGCAAGGGGAGGAGTATACTTCCCAGGGCTAGACAGCACCACAGATCAGTAAGCATAGCGTAGTGAGTGGGTCAGAATAGGTTTTGGGAAGAAGTTCTGCCATGTGAAGGAAAGTGTAGAGAGGATTCTCCCCCTGAATAATTGCTCTGCACCACCATAGCTAATTGAGTCTGTTGTGGAACTCGTGATTTGGCCTTTAAAGTAGGCTCTCTCCAGTACACCTACCAGAACTGCAAAACAGAGCCAGAATGAAGAAGACAGTGAGGAGGACACAATTCATTTTGCTCCCATTCATGTTTCTTCCTTTATCTGGAAGCAAAAACACAGTCATTACATGCCTTAGCTCATAATATTGAATGCTTACAAAATATCTACAAAACCAACCTTTCTAAGGTCAACAGGACCTAGAGGATCTAGTTCGGGACCAAGGTGCCAACGTGGAGATAATGATGCTCCAATAGCTCACAGGGATGTTAGGGAAATAAAGTCATTAGCATGAGAGATACATTGACTTTTACAGTGATATGGCTGATTGCTCTAATTTATGTGGCCCCCGTGACAGATACAGATTCTTCAGAGAATCCCAGCTCTCATTAATAAAGTTAACTTCTCCTAGGGTGACTAGATGTCCTGATTATACAGTGACTGTCCTGATACTAGGAGTATCTTACATAAGACCCCCCTTTGCCTTCTCTATCCTGATTTTTCTCACTTATCTGCTCAGCCTAGTTTCTACTTATTGGGTAATGAATACAAAACATTCAAAACGTGAATGAAGTACGTAAAAAAGCAAAGTGATGAAGTCTGCCAGAAAATGCAGCCAGCTTGTTAAAGCAAGTTTTCTACCTCCATTCATTTCACTAAATTCTGAAGCCTAAGGATGATACTTAAAATATCATTGTTATTATTTCACTGCTGATCATTTTAGCAGAAATGCAAATCGACAGCCAAAAATTTCAGAGAGGAAGACTGTAAGTTGCTGCAGAAGTGAAAGGAAACTGAAAGAAGAGACACAAAGCAGTAAAGATAAAGGAACTTGGTGAAACAGGTGTTTGGCGAGGGAGTTCTGCAGGTAAAGGAGTAGGGTTGCCAGGAGTCTGGTACTGACCCGGACAGTCTGGTATTTTTCTTCTCCTTTGCCTCAACAACTTTGGTCTTCCCCTTTTTATTTTTCTCAGGAGAATTTTTTTCCTGGTGTTTTTTTTTTGGGGGGGGGGGCCCAGTACCCCTGACTCCCTGGGGATGGATCTTTGTCTGACAGATTCTGCTTCCCTTGCAGCAGGAAGACAGCCAGTGAGCGCACCAGGAGCTGAGGAGGCAGCAGCTGCGTCCCCACTTCCAACCCTGCAAATTGTATATAATTGTATTTTAATTATGATTAAACAACATTTGAAAGAACTTTATCCCTGAAATCCAGGACCTGAAAGAATAATTTCAGAGAATGTTGTCAAATTCTACACACAGGACCAGACAGACAAGCAGAACTGTTGGATCTCAATACATGGATGAGACAATGTAGGGAGGAGAGGGTCTAGATTTATTAGGAACTGGGGAAACGGGAAGCCTGGGTTCCACCTATTCCAAAAGGGAACCAGATTGTTGACACTTAAAACCAAAAACGTTGTAGAGCAGTTTTTAAAACTAAGAACTGGGGAGACACCGACAGGTGCTGAAAAGCACATGTATCAGACAGACATCCCATAGGGGAGGATCTAAAAATAGAGATTCTCTATGTCCTAGTAAAGAAGAAAGGATGGAAGATATGGGTAAGATCAGATGAGAAACAGTCAAACAAAAAAAGTCCCATTCAATTGCATCAGGTAATGGCAATCAGCTAAACAGTGATAAGTTTCTGAAGTGTTTATTTAGACTTCTAGCATTTGTATATAAGAAGGGTGTACTAAAGTGCCTTGTATTGAGTGAGGATATAGATGTAATAGGTAGGCATCATAGAAACTTGGTGGCATGATGATAATCCATGGGACATGGTCATACCAGGGTACAAAATGTATTGGAAGGATAGAACAGGATGTGCTGATAGGGGAGTGGCACTATATGTGAAAGAAAGCATAAAATCAAATAAAGTGAATAAGGAAAAATTATTTACTTGTTCCCATAACATAAGAATCTAGGGGTCACCAAATGAAATTAATAGGTAGCAGGTTTAAAAACAAGCAAAATGAAGTATTTTTTCACACAATGCAGTGTCAAATTTGGAACTTCTTTCCAGAGGATGTTGTGACAACCAGGATTTTAACAGGGTTCAAAAAGGAACTAGATACATTCATGGAGTTCATCCATCAAGGCTTAATAGCAAGAATGGGTCAGAATGGTGTCCCTAACATCCGTTTGTCAGGGGCTCAGAATGGGTGACAGGTGAGGGAATCACTTGATTACCTGTCCTGTTCATTCCCACTGGCAGTGGCCACTGTGGGAAGACAGGATACTGGGCTAGATGGACTTTTGTTCTGGCCCAGTATGGCCATTCTTATAATGAAAGGGCAGAAACAGCATTGATCCTGAAGGGACCATATTTTTGGCATTACTCAGTGGGGGCAACAACAATAAGGCATTTAAACAATAAATATAACAACTAGTAAGTTAGCTACTACAGGAAAGCCATGCCTTAGGGGCCTCCTGAGCATCCAGACTGGTGGTCTTAAAGTCAGTCCATGGTATTCTGCTTGTTCCCCCCACCCCACCTTAATCTACTCAAACACACACAGTTGTATCCATTTCCATCTCTCTGTGTTCTGCTTATTAGGTTAACACGCATTCAAAATACAA